AAAATATAAATCAGGATACTGTCTCTGGCAAGATTCAGGATACAAAAGCTGATGATAAAGGACAAAATATAAATCAGGATACTGTCTCTGGCAAGATTCAGGATACAAAAGCTGATGATGAAGGACAAAATATAAATCAGGATACTGTCTCTGGCAACATTCAGGATACAAGAGCTTATGATAAAGGACAAAATATAAATCAGGATACTGTCTCTGGTAATATTCAGGATACAAGAGCTGATGATAAAGGACAAAATATAAATCAGGAAACTGTCTCTGGCAACATTCAGGATACAAGAGCGGATGATAAAGGACAAAATATAAATCAGGATACTGTCTCTGGCAACATTCAGGATACAAGAGCTGATGATAAAGGACAAAATATAAATCAGGATACTGTCTCTGGCAAGATTCAGGATACAAGAGCTTATGATAAAGGACAAAATATAAATCAGGATACTGTCTCTGGCAAGATTCAGGATACAAAAGCTGATGATAAAGGACAAAATATAAATTAAGATAATAACTCTGAAACTGTGTTTTTATAATGAAATTATTCTGCATTAATAGATTTCAGATGTTACTGATTCATCATATTCAGAGATTATTTGATCTGAAACCAAGATGTTAGCTGTTGACATTCGTCTGGACTTTCTTCCAAATAAATCAGCAACTTTATTTATATTAACTTTAATATCTTTGTGTGAGTACAGAGATGCTAATCTATTGAGCCATTCTTGGGACATGGTGCTACGAAGATAGCTTTTAAGAAGACGAACTGATGAGGCTGAGCGTTCACATGTACAGCTTGTAATTGGAAGAGTTGCCAAATCTCTTAGTGCAGTTGAAATGTTTGGGAATGTATCTGGTTTTGTGAGTTTAATGGTTTCTGATAAGTTATCTGGTAGCCTTTCCGTGGAATAGCTAAGCCAAAATGATTCCCAGTTGTCCACTTCATGGGAAATTGTCAAGGGACTCGGTAAATCTTCTTCATACTGTTCACAGAAGCGTTGAAAATCTTTCTTCCAAATTTTAGCAATCCGTTGTATTTTAATGTGCCGTGGAGAAATATCAGAGTTTTCACCCTGGAGAGTTCTTTGAATATCAGGAATGACTTGGACTTCTGATTCTTTGGAGCATTCTCCAAATGCCTCTGCATGGTAACGCTTCTGGCCAATGTTTTTATCTTTAGAATATTCAGTGACCATTATTGATGGAACAATTGCTAAAGCCTTGTATGTAACACAATTGGTCTCAGAAAATCTGGTTGAAAGCTCTTGTAGAAAATGGTCCAAAAATGGGATTGACAAATTGCATTTATAATATGAGCAGGTATCACTAGCTGGGGCATTCCCTCTGTAAGTTTGTCTTCCACATATCCTGGGTGAGTGAGCAGCTACACCTACATTCTTAGCAATGTCTTCTGCCACCTGAAACCAGACACGATTATAACTGTCTATCAAATTTCTTGCTGTCTGCAAAGAGGTCTTCATCATAGAAATTTCATTAAGCCCATTAATGATATCAATGTGAGCCCCTTGTAATTGTACTGTAGCAGATCTTATATATCCAAGGTACATTCTGACAACAAACAGGGTAACAATAAAATCAAAATTGGAAAGAAGAGAAGACAATGCATAAGCTTCTGTAGCACTTGTATACCACTTCCCATCTACGTTATCCTTTATTGCAAACATTGCTTCAGCAATTGCTTTATACATTTCAATGAACCTTTCTAGTCCATCTATACGAAGAACCCATCTTGTTTGGCAAACATCTAAAAGCTTGGTGTGCTTACAATTGGGAATATGTTTTTTGACCATTTCTTCTAAAAGTAGCTGGCGCTTTGGAGATTTGTTGAAAAAATTAGTAATACTTGTGACGCTCTCCATCATGTTTCGAATGCTTTGAATTTGACAAGATGAAGCAATGCATAGGTTGAGACGGTGAGAAGAACAATGCGTATATAAAGCGAGAGGATAAGACCAAGGATTTAAGCTGAAACTCCAGAAAATATACCTGCCATGTTTCCAGCACCATCATAACACTGACTTCTGCAGTCTTTGATATCTAATTTGAAATCCTCTGTGATACATGAAACTATTTTGTCTTTTAAAGCTGCACCAGATAACCCTGTATCACAATGAATGAATTTTAAGAATCTCTCTTGTATTTTGCCACCCTTTCCAACATAGCGTAAAACCAAAGGCATTTGTTCTTTGTTAGACTTTCACTTCATCTGCCAAGATGGAAAAATATTTAGCTTCTTTTACTTCATTCAAAATTTGCTCATTGATGACATCAGCACAACAAGAAGTTAGCTCGTTTTGAGTTGTCTTAGTTCTATGGGTTGCATTTCTTGGTGCATCTTCAAAATGTCACTTTAGAACAACATCTCCACTATCAATTCTAAATTCTAGGAGAGCCTGAAAATTGCCACAGTCTTTGGTGTCATAATATTTTGAATCATCTCTGTGTCCTCTAAAAGAGATATTATGTTGTCCTAATAGAACAACAATTTTTACAATGGACATCAATTTTTCTCTGTTGGCTGAAATAGTATCCTGAAGTATTTTGTCCTGAATAATATTTATGGGCTTGATTTTATTTTCCTTTACTGCGAGAAATGTTTGCATTGTCAGCACAGATGTTTTATGTACCTCTGATTTTATGTCATGATCATTAAACTACCTCATAGCAGTTGACCAGTCATTGAAAGGACTTATCATGAGTTTATTCAGCTTTGTTGAATTGGATCCTATTCTTCTACTAAACAATACACAAGGAAGACAAAATGCACCATCTAAGATACCAGAGTATGTCAGCCATGGGAATTTTTGAAGCCATGCTGAATTAAATTTTCTGTTTTTACCATAAGAATAATGAATTAGGTAAACATACTGAGGGCTTGGTTTCCAAATATTTTTTAAAATATCATATATCTGAGGGTCTGTCAAACTACTCACTTTGTCATAAAAAGAGCCAATGTCACATAAATGACCTTGCAACACATTCTTCTGCTGTACTTTCTCATTTGGCAACTCCTTTTGATTAGACAAAGCTGTTGTACTTGATGCAACATCAACTAATCCATTGGTACTCTTGGATATAGCAGAGAAGGGGATTTTCATTTGTTTTTTAGAAGAACCAGAAGATGAAAGGTCCTCAACCAAAGCTTGTTTTTTACCATAGGACAATAATTTTGCATCTACATTAGCATAAAACAAAGGCACAATATGATTAGGCACAAATGATTTTCTGCAGCGTTGCATAAGAGTATCTAACCTTGTCCATAGGAGACGAACTGGAGTCGAAGTAAATTCTGGTTCTATTCGGGGCTTGATAACAGCATTGAATACATTATGAGCATGACTCATAGGTACACCACGCCCCATATCTGGGTAAAAGGAGTGGATGTCTAAACCCAAAACACTTGACACAGCCATCAGACAAGAAAAGGGAGACCATCTATTGTTCTGACAGTTGTTCAAGGCCTCAAATTTGATACAGTCAACAAAAGTCTTGGACTTATTCTCCAAGATATCAGTAACCTCAAAAGTGTTGGCAATTTGAAAAAAACTACCACGAAGACTAGAAGTTTTATGAGCTGGAAGGAGACCCATGAAATGTGGATGGGAAGCATAATATTCAGCATATGAAATAACTCTATTGATGTCAGAGCTCTAAGTGTCAAGGAAAGGTTTTCACTTCCATTCACAACAACTGATGCTGAATTATACAGGCAGTTTCCATCAGTACTAACCCTAGTAAGAAAGTTGATACCCTGTTGTAAATAATACCAAAATGTACTTTTGCGTAAGATTTTCACATTATATATATATAAGTATAATTTGAAACTGGTGTGGTAAAAATCTGTACATAGGACTTGTTATGATACTTTGTCAGAATTTAACAGTGACAATTTGAACTGAACTGTGATACCAGTATTTTTAAACAAACTGGGGCAAGAGGTTCTTCCATAATCTGACATGTGATCCTTGCTTATTCAAAACTTGATGTTAAAGAAGAGGGATTCTTTTAAAATCGAAGGCTAGATTCAAGGGGGCAGGTTAACATTGAAGAGGGGCATCATCGAATCATTACAGTATACTGTAATGATTCGATGATGCTAACTATTCTGTACTGACAATATATTTTCGTTTTGAGTTTTAGTTTATACTTTTTTGGTTATTATTGGTTTTTATTGGTAAGAATTTCCTAAATCGTTACCCGGGCTATAAAAGCAGCAGCAACAACAGCAGCGCCGTCAACCAAAAATTGCATTTCACATGGAAGCTGTAATTCAATATAATAGTTATAAATTATTTCCTGTTTTATTATTCTAACAGGTTGTAACAATTATTTCGGGCTGTTGTTTTATGTCAGTCTAGACAGTTTGATGTAATTTACTCGGAAGATGTTCTTTTAAATCTAGAGACATGACGTGACGTGTGACTGGTCTTGACGGGCCTAAAGTAATTATTTGTACGCAGTAAATTTTCCAAATATTTTTTTAATCAAAAATCATAAAACACCTTGCAGCGAAAAGTCTCTCATTCTTTGAAGGCTTCAGTCGCTGATCAAATTTCGGCAAGTTAGCATAGGCGGCTTCATCCTCTACCAGATCATTTGCGTTTGTGTTGTTGACGAATAACGGGTCAATTTTTCTCAACTTTGTAAGTTCCGTCGCGTGCAGCTTCGATAGCTCATCAAACTTCTCTTCTCTGATGTAATTCTCAACTTTCTTAAGCAGATCCATTTTGAATAGATTCTCAGTGTAATGTAGTACCAAGCAATGGGGTTAACTTTCCCGCGATTGTGTGAGATAGAAATTCTGTCTATAAGGACCATCGGTTGAGTAGCAAACAAACATCCTGCGCACAGATGTCGCACGAGCTAGCATTCTGATTGGTAAACACAGGGTACAACAATGGCTGTGCGACTTGTGCGACAGAATTTAGAAAACATACTGCGCACAGTTTGACTACATTGCAGCCCTAGTACCCGTTATTCGCTTTACTATTTCCCTGTGATCACCGGCAACGGTCGGAATCGAATTGATTCTCATTACAGATAATACGACCGGACCTGACCTAACGATACTCAACAATTCAGCTCAACAGCAAGACGGTTATTGCTTTTTTTGTCAATTTTAGTGGCTAATAACACAGTGAAGGTTTCTTAGAGTTCAAATCTTCAGAATAAGGACAAATTTTTAAGAATTTTCTCAATTCTAAACGCAGCTTAACCATTTACTAAAAATGCTTTTTCTCTGGAAATGTGACTGTCTCCTGTGCGAACTGTGCGACAGTGTGGATCCGCCCCTGCTTGTGCTGGTAAGTCCCGTGTAGCAGCCACTGCCAAATCCTCTGTTGCAGAGCCTTGCGCAGCAGTTGTGACATGCACTTTTTTGCACTTTTTTCCTCATGGAGGATAGCACATTCCCTTTTGCGCTTTTGCCTTGATTGCTGCCTGTTGTACCTATCAATGCATCTACCATCTCCTGACTTAAACTCTAATGTCCAAGATTTTGTGTTGGTATCCAGTCAGGATTATTTCTATCGAAAAGTGCAGAGGGCTTACTTGAAAAAGATAAAAACTACGGTTGACTAACGTCTGGTCTAAAAGCCTTTATCAAACATGAAAAAGGACTAGGTAAAAATAGAATGATCCAAAAGATGAAATTTCCTAGCTTGGCTATATAAACAGTTTAATGTGTTTGACATTCTAACGCATATCAAAAGGAAGCTAAGTCATTTACACGCTTTTTTTAAAAAGAAACCACTTTATAAGTGTTAGTACTCTATTTCGAACTCTTGCTGAAATTCTTTTTGTTACATTGATCAAGAAGCACTCCGAAGAAAAAAGCAAGTTTTGTAAAATTTTACGCCTGATCACCTCATACACTGACTCGAATAATGCCATGCTAATACAAAAGGCAAATTAACAAAGCATCCAACAGCGTGACTCGATAAAATAAAAGGCGTTGAAAGCACTATTTAAAATACCTTAAGCGTTAACAAATGGTTCAACAATCCGTTAAAAACCCTAAAAACAGCTAAATAGAAAACAAAAGATGTAAGCATAGTTTCCCAACACACCTCTCGCCTTGGTGCATGTTCCTATGCGTCAAGTAACTGTAGCATCTTAAGACGCGCGTTGTTTGCCGCAGCTCTTCTGGGTCGCTCCCCTGCCGACTTTTCATTTTCCTTATTCTCTGAAAAATTCTCTTTTTTCACTCCATCCCCCTTACTCATAGCTCCATTTCCACTCACTAAAGGATACAGTTTTTGAATTGGTCTAGTTAAAGGCTCATACTTACCTCTTCCAGCTTTGCATACCTTGGCACCGCGTATGTGACCATCCTTACCCCGAATTACATCCTTGACGATTGCAATTTTCTATTGACCTCTCTTAAGATTTTCCTCTTGCAGTACTACAATGTCTCCTGCATTAATGTTCGCTGGTTTATTCTTATTCATTCGGTGAGATTCTCACAGATCTATGAGGTATTCCTTCTTCCACCTTGTCCAAAAACTAGTCAACAATCTGGTTAAGTAAGAAAAGCGCTTACAATCTGATGAATAATCTCAATTTACAACCAATACCCATTGATAACATGCTTAATCTTCTACCTACCAATAGATGTGATGGAGTTAATACTTCTCCATCCACCTCATCATATAAATATGTCAAAGGTCTGTTGTTGAGAATACATTCTACCTCCGAAAAAACCGTACCTTATTCGTCAGAAGTCACTCTAGCATTTCCAAGTACTTTATGCAGACATCTCTTAACACTTCTTATAATTCTTTCAAAGTGCCCCATTTGCCAAGGACTTACCTCAAGGTTGAATTTCCAGTCAATTCTTTTCTTTCTCAAATACTTTACTATC